CGTGAGTTTTTAAAAAACCTTATTCTAGCTTTTTCTAAAAGATCCTCCCCCTCCACCCCCGGGGTGATGCCGAATGTTACCGTATCCTCTCCAGCTTGAAATGTTTACCAGTTTCTGGTAATTTATTTATATTTTGAGCTTGACAAACAAAAAACACTCTGGATGGGTTGTGATCTCCCTGAACCGATGTAAATCCCAAATCAATCAAGTTCCTGATTCACATCAGGTTTACAAACTCCTCCCAGAGACCACAATCTCGCCCAGGGCAGATTTTTCCCTGCCTGGCAGAAATACATTCTAGACTGCTGAAGAGAAAAATAACACCAGGCAGAGGGAGGGGGGGGTCTATTTTTTTCTACTTTACAGAATAGGTTTTAGAGTATTGAATACAAATTATGTAGTAATGTTATTGTAGAACTGCAAGAAATTTAAGATGACCTTTATAATGTACAAAATATTTTTATATTTTTTTCTTAACGAAGAAAAACCACACCCTAATTTTTTACATTGGACTAAACGTAACTTTTTAAACAAGTTTATGCCTCAAAGATTGAAAATTTTAACAAAAAACCAAACCAACCTGATTAGTCTGTAGAGCAGCTTTGGGTTTATTCCCTTTATTTAGGTGCTTTTGCTTATGGTAGTGTAGATTTTTTAATTCCAGTTTTAGTTTAGAGGATCGAAACCTATTGCTTTATCCCTCTCCTGTGTAAACGTAACTTCAGAAGCACTGAGCGACAGCTACGTGCACAGACCTGGGAAGCCTGAAAAGTCATTTTTGCTGTTTGACAGAAGTTTGTTTGACAGAACCATGTTAACCCTCAGAGAAGGAGCATTACCTGAGGCGACCGCCAAGCGCGCGCTGCGGCACGTCCGTACTGCTCTCGCAGGGTTCACCACAAAGCACTAGATCAATACGCAACCTGCTCATTTTTTAAATTATTTTAGCAAGCTTAGACAGCAGCAGGCTCCAGTGCCGCACAGAGGAACTCGGCAGACTCTTTCCAAATCTGACACCGTCTCTTTTTAACACTTGATTAAAAAAGAAAACAAAAAAACAAACAAAAAAAAAAAAAAACCAAAAAAAAAAAAATTGCTTAAAAACCCAAACCAGCTCTGTCCCAGCTCACCCTGTGTCTCTCCGAGACCCTCTGATGCAAGGTGCTGTAGAAGTGCCAGCTACTGTAAACGCCAGAGATGACAACTGAGCGTAAAGCTGGCGTAACTCAATACGCGACGGGTATTTTGTGGTCGGATGAAGCGCGTGACCCCGCAGCAAAGCAAAGGCAGGTATAGAAGAAAAAGCAGATGTGTCTAAATAACACCAGTGGAAATTTAGGGGAAAGTCCTGACGGCATTAAACTGCATATCCTGACTGAGGACCAAGCAGGACGAGCGTCCACGGAGCAGCCGTCACCCAGTTCAGAATTCACCGGGACTTTCACCCATTTGCTCCAAGGCTGCTTTGGCCCCTCCGCAGCGCCACGGGCGCCCATCCGTACCACAGCCTCCCCTCGTCATTATTCCATCCCATTCCCTCAAAATCCCGGTGACACCTACCGCCCCCCTCTCCGGGAGCCCTTCCCGTGCTCTCACGGCACGGAGGCGATCCCACAGTCGCACCCGCGGCGGCAGGGCCGGGCTCACCCCGCGCTCTGCTCTCTAGGTACAGGTTTAGAGCCAGGCCTTACCCCGTGCTCAGAGCTACCACACTATCAACTCAGAACGTCCACTGGGTACGCTGCAACACGGTTGGCTTATACTGGTGTAACTGGGAAAATTTAATCTTTTTTTTTTTTTCTTTTCCCCCCTCCCCAAACCACACAAGATAGAGACCTTCAAGCTGCCCCTTTCCCAGACAAAACAGCGAGCACAACCAGCCTTTCTGACAGGCCCCACGGCTGATTACCGATGCCAAAACAAAGTTACTTTTATTAATACCAAAAAAAAAAAGTGTCTTTAGAAATGCTATATGAAGTGTCACTATTTGTGTCAATACTTTTTTTTTTTAATAGAAGGAAAACTTTGCTCTTAAATTTTTATCGCAACAAGAATTTTTTTTTTTTTTTAATTCTTCTACAGCAATTTCAACTCTTCCTGAAATACATATTTGAATTCCTGAAACCAGTTTGAATGTAGAAGTCATGGAAGTACCACTTCATTAAACCTACCACTTCATTAAACCAAATAAAACCACTGTATGTATGTAGCAGGGATAAATGTTTTGCAGCTGTACTTTCATTTGTCCAATGACTCTCCATCATTTGTTGTAATTTTTTTTTTTACTTCATTGAGTTTGTATTTTTTGGCTTTTATGTTCAAAATATGTTTATAGCTTTATAAATAAAGTAATTGCCAGACTGGCTATTCGAAATAGGCCACTGGAAGTTATAATCCTATCAAACTGTCAAATAACTATTTCTTAGAATTCAAGAGGATTCCTGGTTCGTTTGGTTTCCCCCTTCAGGCACTTGTGTGTACAAATAGTTTTTAGAATGATTTCGAGTAGTCTTCAATGGTAAGACTGAAATAGTAAGCCAAGACTAAGAAAGAATACCTTCTCCCACAACCCCTACTGCCACCTTGCCTTCCCTACCCTCACACTTAATCAATTCAGCCAGGAAGAAATATCCCTGATCATGCCCTACCTTTAAAAAAAGAGTTTTAACTTAAAACAGCAACATAAAGTTTAAGAGTGGGAAATTGGACCATCTCTCCCCCTTTCCAGATTTTCAAAGTACTGAGAAAACACATTTTATGGAATCCTAACTACCAAGACTAGTAAGAACACTGAAAGCAGCCAAAGCTATATCATGTATTACATTTATAATACAATGCAGCCAGGCTGGCCCTTTCTTCTGCGCGCCGCTGTGCCGTACCTCCACGCTTGCATCAGCATCAACAGCCAGCTGGAACGAGCCTGCAGTTCAGCAGAAGCTCCGACGTTACAGCATCTGACCACCAAGTTTTAGGCCCACTGTTCTCACAATGAGCAAGCCTTAGGGCCACAGGAGTTTTATGCAGGTATGGCAAACAAATCAGAAGCAAGGTAATGAGGAAGGCAACTCTGTCTCTTCCTCATCCTACAGCATAGCGAGGCATCCCACAAGGCAGTGGCTGCTAACAACCATGGATCCCGGGCTGATGACGAGCACCTGAAGGAATTTACACAGGCTTCTACCACCAAACACAACCACAGTATAGGCTTCTCTATGAGCAACGCTCCAAGGATGCACTAGCGTATCCTGGAACACTTCACACACAGACAGATTTATTTCTTGTAAGAATCTGGGATAAGCTGAATCTTAGACTACAAATACAGCCAGAGAATTGTCAGCAGAGCTTCTCTAGGGGCACTTTAAACCAAGATGTATTGTTTGCAATACAGGATGCTGGAAAGGCTTCACCACGTCCCAGTCTAGCACTGGAGTATTTTGTGCCCACTGACAATAACAGCACAATATGCCCATCTAATACACACACCAGCACAAAGGCAAGCCCAGCAGCCTCGTGAATGAGCAGATGTGAGCAGCAGCTGGATCCAAAGCAGGGGTCTGACCACTGCCTTAGAGCGAGTTATGAATGCTTTCATTAACAGTTACATCAAAGATTACCTAAAAGCTGGTAAGCCATCAAAAAAATACATCCATCTGGATTGCTTGCTATGTAACTTCCGATTTGATGTGAGAGGTTGCCCACTGTGTCTGACTGGTGGCTTGCATTAGTCATTTAACAAAACTTTTACAGCTGTTTTATTTTAATTAACCACTGCCTTGGTGCTATTATTTGTACACTCAGTAGTAAGCGACAGTAAGATTGTCTAGTTTCAAATAACTAGAACCATTTGCAAACCAAAGTTTAAAAGCCCTTTATTAATTCAGAAGTGAAACACTGATATTTAAAGTGAGTTAAGTATGTTTATTAAGGTTCATTCTACTCTAAGGTTTATACAGAGAATGGAATGCAATACAAGCTAAGAGCACACCTCAAAGATCTACCACACAACCATCCCCTACTCCCTATAAGGGAACTGTAAAAAAAAAAAAAGTAAAAATCAGAAAACCAGTTACTGTTTAACTAGTTGCAAGTGGCTTTGTCCAAAAGAAGTTAAGCTTGATATTGCATTAGCTTTGTATGCAATAGTTAAGTCTCTACAAGCTGAAGTATCACATACAAAGGCATAAGATTTCCTGTGGACAGATGAAACCATGTTTTAAAGAGCTACATCACAAGGGTTGTTTAAAATAGCCTAAAAACAAGCCACTAATGGCATGCACAGGTCAATAATATTAACTTTGGTAATGTCAGTCATTTTTGGTCAAACCTGGACTCCACTTTGAACAGTAACGTATAAAAATACACCCATCCTGTGCATAAAGCAATGCACTCTTCATTTGCTACCAGCTAGAGGCAGGTCTTCAAGACATGGTTGAAGTATTCAAATTTAACTGTCAGGAGCTTGCTTAGTTCTAGATCACATCTTTCACTAGTCTATAAGGCCAGACTAACAGGACAAGAAAGTGGTCAAATATTTTCTCTTTTTTTTTTTTTGTTAATGCAGGACAAGAACCATCTTGAAAGTTATATAGCTTTAAGTAACACTAATCTTCCCCACAATGTTTTCATAAGAAATCCAGTAACTTTTACCTTATCTAGTTCCCCAAGACACATTCTAGTTTGTTTTTCTTTCTGAAGCTATCAATACCCTGTAAATATAAGCATTTTGTTCTTCTTGAGGAAGAAGTCATAGGTGGTTTTATTTACAAGGGAGTCAATCTTTAGCATCGTTAACTGGACTCGAACGGTTTAAAAGTGTAATGAAAATGACAACCTTAAGTGCTACTTTCCATACAGAATCCACACTTAGTTCAGTTTTATTCATTGCAGAATAAAGTAAAAAGACATCCAATTACACTAGTAAAAACTCAGAAGATTTAAATTTGTACTCAAAAAAACACTACACATGCAAAGGGAACAATATCCTGCTAACACAACTTCATTTGCTGCTGCATTTGTCTAATATTAACAATTATGAACAGAGCAGTGCAACTAGTATTTGGAACAATCCTTACAGTGTTCGAGTGTCAGGCACAATACTTCACTTCTCTTCACACCACTGGTTCTCTTTACGTACCTGAAAGAATATTTTCACTATTAATATGTTGCAGTGAACTTCTAAAAGTTAGTTGTAAATTCTCGTAAGTATTCAGGACTACTTATGGCAGGAAGGCATAAACTTGGAAGCAGCTTTAATTTTTTCATGCAGGGTTTGTAACTAGAAAGTCAGTCTTCCAAACTGAGCTGCTTATCAATATAAACTAAAGAAATTTATTTCTCATGCCTAGATTTGATTTAAACTGAATTTCTTCCACCAAGCAAAGCAAATGGACTAGCTTAAAACTAAATTGCTTGATCCATGGCACAGAACTGAAGACAAACCTGAATGTACAATTAAATTTGAATTTAAACAAGACATCTTGTTCTGACCTTTCCCAACTCTGCCAGTTCACAGTTGGTTTGTTGTTCAAGTTCCAAGATCAATGAGCTTATTACTTAAAAGACAAGAATCCACACATCTTACCTTTCCCGTCACATGCAACAACGCGTCTTCAGCATTCTTACTACAGCTCCGAAATAGCAAACTGAGGCTGCCACAAACAATCCTACCTGTTTTCTTACCAGACACACATTTGAGCTAGGAAGTCAGTACGCTTTGATTTGACCTTTTCAGGTAGCGGGCTGCAAGCACTGTAGGCACCGAAAGGTCTTCCACCAACAGCAGTCCAATTATGAGGAGCTGATGCATTAGTTTACATTTATTGTTAACAAATCAGTTGCAGCACATGTTAAATTATGGAGCACCACACAATAATTCAGCACAAAACCAGATAAATTATAATTAATCCCAGATCAAGTACCTGTGCTTCTTCCTCCTCAGTGAAGTCATTCTTAATATTGAACGTCTTGCGAATTTCTTCTGGAGTTTTCCCCTTGATCATGTTTGCAACTGTCTTGCACGTGACATCAAGCAAACCTTTGATGTCCAAGTAATTTGCAGCCTGTAGGAGAGTTTCCAAATTTAAAGCCTCCATATCAATATTCTCCTCTGTAGATGTACTAACAAAGTTATGCTTACACTGAAATTACACTGCAAACAGATCAGCTCCACTTTGAGAAGATTCTAGCTAGAACTTGAAGTAACAGTACCTAAAACTTGCTCGTCAAACAGAAGGGAAAGTCATTTGTACTATGAAAGACACCACCCCCAACCCGCTCCTCCTTTTGTAAAGGGCTTTCAGGAGCCTGCAAACATTCAAGTCTTCAGTGCTGAAGTGCTGTTAACTAGCTAAGACAAGTACCTTCTGCAGTACCGTGAGACTATTACAAGTTTTAAAAGTCAAAGCTACATTTTAATTTGGATGCAGGTCTCCAGAACGCCATTTCCAGTAATAAGCCCTCAACTAAGTCTCGAGAGCCACAAGAACAAAGACAGTTGTATGGCCCCATATTCAGAAAAGTGCATCAACTGGTAAACGAGCAAGTACAGATTAATGCCTAGCATTAGGTTAACAAGCACTCTAACATCCTCAACAGTTTTAGCCAGTAGTTTGCCAGAACTACTTGCCCTCCCCACATCCCCCCCATGAAGTTATTCAAGACTACTTTATTTGTCATGTGCACCAACAGAGCACACTTCCCAGGCATAGCCTTTGTGCTTCTTGGACATACTTACCAGGATAAGTTCAAAAAGCGTTCCTTGGTCTACTTTCAGAAACTCTTGATCCCACACAGGGATGTCATCTGTTCTTTTTTCTTTGTTCTCATCATCCTCAGGAGGAGGTGGATCATCCTTGTGATGGGTGCACCACTGAATCACCTAATCATGGTTTTGATATTAAAAGTTTATCCAAACGATTTTCCCATTAGGCCCCACTGTAACTTAACTTCATTTTAGAAGAACTGTACCTCTTTTCTCCAGATTAACATTAGACTCCTGTATGAACATGCTCCATTACCCAGTATTTTCAATGTAGAACAATTGATCCCCAATCCTGAAGCCTTCAAAAATCCCATCTGAGACAGTAGCCAGTTAATTACTTATGATCTTAAAAGCCAGCTGCTGGCGTTACGAAGTTATTCAACCCTCTGCTAGTAAACAGTAAGAACGGACAAAGGAAACCTAAACCTCATTTTGCAGTTCATCTGTTTGCAGAAGCGTAATTCTTATTAAGCAGAATACTACACAGGGGAAGAGTGTAGAGTGGCAATAGCTACCAGCAGGACGTGTTCACCACGGTACTAACTCCACCTGGCAAAGTCTACATGTTCCCAAGCTTGCCTTTTTGCTTTTTAAACACCACCATCTTGTCACCCAGGCGTTTAAAGGAGTAGGGATCTACTGCAAGTAAAATCCTGTTCCATTTTGCCAACCCAACAGACTTTGCAAGTTAGGTTATTTATCTTTACGTTCAACTAGGAAATAATTCCTAACCCTGTGTTTACCCCCAACAGTCCAGTGCTTATTTTGGCACAACGCTTTCTACTTCAGAGCGAAAAGCATCTCCGAAGACTGCAACATACTTTTTCGCTTTTCTCACTTGACTCAGCAATAATCATGGTCTATTACTGAATTTAATACCACCGAATGCGCACGGTGTCTCTTAAGCCCTGTAACTGAAACTCAGGCATGGCTACTGCCAGTTACTCTCCCCACTGCCTGCCCCTTCATCCTTTCTCCTAACATTTGGATCTCACCAACAGCCACCTCAGTTCACAGAATCCAATTAAAATCAGTGCTTTCATACCACGATACACTAGCGTGCACAGATGCCCACCACTCCAGCACCTTAGGCAGCCCGTCTGGCCTCCAGCTGCTGTTCCAGAAGGTCACCCCTGTAGGGCTCCTGCTGCTGTCTGCCAGCCTCACCCCACTTCTCAGATCCCCATGCCCATGTTCATGCACCTCCAATCAGTTAAGCTTGTAGCTAGCATGTGAAAAGTTATCTTTAATACAGTAGTTCATAGTATCCAACCCCAACATGAATTTCACATTTCATTACTGCCACACACCATCACCACTTTCAGCATCTTACCTTTTTTAAGATAGCTGCATTAACATTTGGAAGAGGGACTGGGTCATCGTCACCTTCATCATCCATTCCCAAATCTAAAAATGGGAAGATGACTAAGCAATTGGCAGGCAAAACCATTAACTCTTTCCTGAACTGGGCCGCCTCACCAATTCTCCGTCATTTTAACAAGACTGAGGCTGAATGGATCAGTAGCAAAGGATCTCTAACTGGTGAAGTCAGAAGCTTTTAGAAAGCTTCAATGTGGCTTTGTGGAGCCACGGCTGCATTACACATACTAGGGTATACCAAGTTTAGGCTAGTTCAGTGTTTGGGAATAGGATATGTTGAAGAATCAGACAAATATTTATGTATTTTTACCACTTTCAACACTTCCATCCACAAGTTAAGCAAAAGCGTTCCAACTGAGATCTCCCATTCAGTTTATTATTAAATAAGAATTTGGATCTACTGTAGTAGGCAGAGAAAGTGTTTTGTCCTCTATAGGAGCAGTAAATACTGCAGCCCTAGAGATGTCCATTATCTGGCCTCTGAAGCACTTGTACTGATTCTTACCAGCTGAAGAAGTTTGCATGCTAATACAGCAGTGCAAATCCTTCAATCAAAAAAGCATTTATAAAGCATGCTTCTGATACTCCTTGTTCTAAAAGCTTGTCAGCATGTTCAAGGTGTATTTGGGTAAAGTTTGACACTCTGTCCCCTTGATGCAATTACGGCATCAAAGTGAAAATTAAGAGAAAAACATAATTAAAATTTCAACTTCATATACAGAACAAATACCACATTAGCCATATTTGATTAGAGAATATGCTTTTTTATTACACAAATGCTAACAGTTGGATGACACCCTAGCTGTCAAAGATTAACACCTCGTAACTAGTTATTTAACTGAGTAACTACACAGACCTTCACTCATTACGTGTACAGATGAGCCAATTCTGCATCACCAAGGAACTTAATTTTCAAGAACAGATGACTGTCCCACCATCATCACTGATCACCTTTGTGCACAATTAAAATAGGATGTACTTCTGCATCTAGGCAAGTCAACTACTGTTGTTATTAGCAGGATATTAACTAGCACTACTTTTTGTTTGGAATAACTTAACTTCATAGATTCACAAACTAAAATACTGACATTAAAGGCTACTGTGTATGTCACCAATTAATGGAAACTTCAAACGCATACTTTGAACATGGTGGCAGATACCAGCCTAAGAAGTGACCTGTCTAAAATTGTTTGTATGGGGAAGCAATTCAAGCAGTATCTTAAGTTTAGTTAACTCTGCTCAACTTGTCCCCACCACGACCACAACAGCAGCTTCATCTGTCATCAGAGAATTGATACGTCACTGGTGGTCTCATGACGCTCGACACAACACCACCTTTCAGCTCTTCTCCTTTCAGCTGCAGCAGCCAACACACAAAACATTGTTTATTAACTGATGCTTAACTAGCTGTACTGCAGATGCATTTCAACTCTAGTAGGTGACTGGTTCTCACCCCGATTAGTAAGAGGCTAGTTCATGGTGCCCAGCCTGCAACACTCAACACATGTTAACTTCCCTTTCACCAACACCTGTGTGTCACTAAACACCGACAGTGACACAGCTTCTGCAGGAGAAAACCGAGAAGAATTGTGCTCCCTAACGTTCCAACCGATTGCTGTTCCCTGCTCACGTTGCTAATCATGTTCAGCAGCACCTTACTAACAGAATGGAAGTGTTCAACAGTTGGAGTATTTTGACCTTATTTTTATTGTTCTTATACATAAGGTGACACAATCAGACAAAGATCTGTACCCAAGAACATAATTTTAACTACATCTATAGAGATTTTTTTTCTCCAAGTTAATTCATGAATACACCCAAAAACTGGAAAAAAACACCAGTAAACAATGAAGATTTGCACTAGAGGGATTAGACAGTTTGCTCTGTGTCCTAGCCATCTGGCAGACTTCCCCTCCCCCGCCACGAGTTCTTTTGTTTCAAATTTATGTCAGCCGGGGATCAGAACTAAGTATTTATCCCAAATAATATAACTGCATCCATAAGCTCACAATACAGGCTTCACTTTAGCTCTTTCTTCACTGCATTGGTTTATGATCTCCCACCCTGTTTAAGAGATATTTACATTGTAAGACCGGTTTATATGATTAAATAAACTTAGTTTTTATATTATTAGACGTTCTGTTTGCTTAACTTCTACAAAACTGAAGTAGGCTGTAGGCAAGGCAGTGGGGTGCTTCTATTTTACTAGCCTCCCTGCAAGTCCTCTTAACAAGGTTTTTGCAAGAGCACATCCACTCAAAACACAGCTTACATTACAACAGCAATTGTTCCAGCTGTTCTGACACAAGACAGCAAGCTGCTTCACAGGCCTGGGAATCCTGTTTCAGCACAGTACCAGTTTGTCTCCTTTGGTCATAATTCCTGTTCAAGAGCCTTCCTTGAACACACTGCTGTCTCTGCACAAGCTAACGCTCCTCAGGCCTCATACTCTTACCTTCCAGCATAGTCTTTATAGTTACAGACTGTTTTGCAATTTCAACGTCAACTTCAAAGATCTCTCCATCTGAACTCTGCAGTTTAATTGAAGGCATCTACAAGAGAAGGACAGTTATTTCCACACAACATTCAGCAAACGCTACAAGCTTAGCAGACTTGAAGATGTACATTACCTTTACTATTTATATTGGTTCTTACCAACAGCAGACAGCCCAGTGCCACTTAAAGCATCCCCAGATTATTCGCTGCTTGAAACAACAGGCCTAAACGCATTAATCCTCATGCTTAAGAAACACCAATTTGAGAGAACTTTTTTCTTAATTTGAAAGCATAAAATACACAAGGTTTATTAGTCAATAGTACTTACATTTTTTGCAGCGCAACACTAGAGCTATCTTTCTCTCTAATTAACCTTCAACACCCCTTCCAAGACACTACTTGTCTTCAAATCCAAACAATTGCTACTCACTGACTACTCATATGAAGTCAGATCTCAAAAGCAGTTCTCAAATGATAGCCTCTGGAACAGAATCACAAAATTGAGGTCAGAAGCAACCCCTCTAGGCCGAGTCTAGGCCAGGCTCCCTTGTGCCAGAGTCAAACTGAGGTTACTCAGGATCAAAGGCTGTCCTTCAGAAAAGTGTTTGGTTTTCTGAAGAGATTAAAAAGCAATATGCCACTACGAGGAAGGCTTTCAGCACTCAGTATCACTCTTAGAAAGTAGGAAGTTAGATCAGCACTTTGTTAGCATGAAGAAAGACTAAGATGACTACGTATTTTAACAAAGTTTTTCAAACAAGCTGATAAGACCTACAACAGAAGCAGCAGACTTCAAAGATGTCACTAGCAGGAAAAAAAAATAAAATAAAAAAATCAAACTTTACAAGAATGCACCTTTCCAGATATTTAACTCAAACCCAGAAGTAATGCACTTGATACAGTGGCTAGCAGGTTACAACTTCTGCCTGAAACTGCACATGAAGTCTGTTTGGGTATCGCTGCACTTGAACCCACTGACTTGAAGGACATGATAAACATAACCGCCTGGCCACAGATATTTTATAAATCAGTTCTCAACAAACTGGTAGGATGTGTTACAGTAAGTTCCTTTACCACTCAAAATGTTTGTCAGCACCAGACCATTGCAAGTTTATTTTTCTTTTCCCCAAGTTACCTGCCTAAAGTTCTCTAAAACATGACTTTCTAAATACAGCCTGCAAGGCACTGTAGAGAGGAGCTCTAGAAACAAAGAACTGCAAATTAATTTCAATTTATTTTCAAATGTTCTTTCCCCACCAAACCTAAGAGCTATGCAGGCCAGTCCCTTACAGTAGTACTTGAACTATCACAACTGAATCAGCTGGACCACTTTCACCCAACTCACATTATTCCTTTCTGAATGCCTCCTATAGCTCATCAGTCTGGCTCAGCCTGACAGTACCGCAACAAGCCCAGTCCAATGGAGGCCAGCCAAAGGACGTTATTAAGCAGCTCACACCAGCTTGAAGTCCTCATTGCTTTAATTTCCATTTGGCAGAGCAAGTAGCTAGTTAATGTTTACACAGTTCTGTAACCCTATATGACAGTGCTACTTCTAGTTAAGATGGGTGCTCTGGAGGGACACGGTCCTGACTGTTCCAAAGATACAAATATCTAGTTTCTGTTCTAGTTTGCTGAGAACAGATTTACAAAATTTATAGACCTACGCAAAAACAAAATTCTGATTAAAACCTAGCTCTGAGTTGGTAATTTGGACGACGCCCTGAAAAATAACACCCTAAGCATACGTTTATGGATTTAATGCATCTGTTCTTGCAGCGCTTGCCTGAGAGCACTCGAGAACAAGCCCAGCTTCAGGCGCCAGCCCTCCTGTGCATTACATAATGCTGCACAACGCAGCCAGCAAGGCAGGGATGCTGCCTTTAAAAGAGCCCAGCCCCTGCAAGAATGTTTGCATGGAGACCCTCGCATCACCCAAACCCACTTCCACCAAGACCTTCTAGGTTACTGTTAAGAGTCTGAATCGGGTAGAATGAAATTAATCTACTGCCTCAGCACTGCTAACAGATCAGGATTTCATCCACATTTCATTATTTTTATACCACAGAGCACAGGCTCCTGGAAGAAAAAAAAAAAAAACAACAGTCATTTTTAGCAAACTGAAATACAGCTCCGGAAAGAGACAGGCCCTGGATAGCAACACAACCGGGTGACTAAGCAGACTTGTCCTAAAAGCTCTGTTCGACAGCAGCAAAACAGGTTGGGAGCTAGTCCAAAGACAAACCTGAATTACAGCGGCAATCTGCATGTACGAGCCTGAAACGCTGAGCTCGGCCCCGCCGGCAGCTCCGTGCCTCCCCGAGCGATGCCGGCCGGATGCC